TGAGCGATAGTGCCACAACATTATCCAAAGAAAGTGTTTCACGAATGAACCGCCACTGTTCTAAATCGTGCGTTCCGGTCTCTTGAACATCGTTAGAAGGATGTTCTGACACGCTATGTATGAAGATTGTGTTTAGGCAGTCTTGCTTGCTGTGCCCCTCTTCGGTGTTTCGTTTTGGTTGTCGCGCGCTCCAAGGGACATCAGCATAGATACGTATCACACAGGAATCGTGTTTTAGCGCGCTTGCAGAGAGCAAAACGTTTTCTACGTCGGTGGAGGATTCTAGAGTTACTCGAATAAGTCTGGGTTCACCATAATGTGGCGAGTTCGGATGACGAGTAATTCGTAACAAGTTTATGGGCTTGGCTTTGATACTCCTCTGCATACACAATGAGTTCCATTGGTCTTGGTCGTCTGATAACTTATCCCGCAATGTGATGGCGGTAGATTCAGGGACATTTGAGCCTACAACAGTCCGGGCACTGTTGTTGGATCCCTTTTTCGTCGATCTACAAGGTATGGTACTCATTTGTCCTGACTTGTTGACAAGTGATTGTTTGCTGTTTTTCTCTCCATTTGCGTTAACGGTGTTTATAATGGAAGAGGACGCAACGGCGGCCTCTCGGTGGACCCTTGCAGCAATCTCTGCATATGTAACTGATGTTCTGGGAGGCTTAGTCTCGACAAGAGATATTTGAGCTACAGGTACCAAGGGTTGCTGTTTGGCTGCTTCATCCTTGGTAATGCTAGATGTCAGGTCTAGTGGAATTTGCTTAACCAGACGTTTTGAATGGTGCCTGATTTTCGTTGCCGTGTGTACTGTTTGATTCACGTAGGTACAGTCTGTTTTCGCCCGGCGTTCTACCAAAGTTGGAGAAGACAACAAAGATGGAGACGTGGCTGATTGCGGTTCAGGGGAAGCGGATTGTTCAGCATTCCGTTGCTTAGCAGCCGCTACGCTTCTGTGGTCCATACTCGCTTCCATTGAAGTAATCTTATTGTTTATCCTCTGCTCTGCTTCTGTGATTAACCGGTCGCATTTCTCAGCTAGAATAAGCAAGCACTTAACGAGGGGGATGGTGGAACACACAGTATAGAATCAAAATGCATCTTGGGAGCTATTTCGCTCCCGTAACTGTTGTTGGGACACATTTGCACATTTCGTATGGTATCATTCCAAACAGTGCGAACAAGCCAGACCGATTTTTACTACTCGATGACATTCTCCTAACCCGCAAATGCCTTTCGATGTGAGTCTCTTCGGTTTCGCCTTTCTGCCATTCAATTTGGTGTCGTTACCTGACCCAGTGGGTTGGTTAGCGTTATGTACTTTTACAGCTTTGAGAGCGGCGCACATCGGTCAGGCGAGCGTGGTGATTGCAAGGTCAACTGAGTGGTCGGCGTGGTCGCGCGGTCCGTGTGATGGGTTATGCATCCGCACTGGCTGACAAGGTCACAAGGAATGGCGAGTGACTGGAACCTGATCATGGTAATTTGTCACCGTTTATAATGAACTGACCGTTGAGTTGGTGAAACACTACAGACATGGTTAAAGCAGAAATATTAGGTGCACGGAGGCGCGGTGGATACCGTTGCCTTGACAAAAGCGTCCAAATAGCAATTCAATAGAAACAGACATGAGTTAAACTCGTTAGGTGAAATAGTTATTAAGACTCCGCATTGTGTGAACGAATAAAAGAGCACGTTAGACCTCTGTGTGACCCCACCATATCACCGACGAGGTATTCTACCACAGATGTGGCTGACCCAGAGAACTCACCGACTGGGCACCTCGGAGTTTCATCCAACTAGGCGGAGGATTTGATAGTGAGCGAAAACAAAACAAGCGCATGTGAGGTGGCGCGCGCACCAGGAACGCAAAACCCACAAAGCCTAAGATGCACAATGAGTTTGGATAGAGTGACACAGGGAAAAGCAAATTAGGGAAGCAAAGCACTAGTGAAAGGTCGAGCAAAACAGTACAGCGCGCTATGAGGCATTGACAAATGGGCTCAACTGCGATCAGCAGGAGTAGAGGTCAACCACTTACCTGAAACAAATAGGCTAAGCCAGCAGCCTCGGACCGGTCAACAGCAAATCGACGAAACGACTCCATATCGGAGAGTTGAGTAAGCGACCCAGTCAAGAACTCCAACTGGTTCGTCTCAGACGAGGATTGTAGGCCCAAAGTAGTGGCGATCGATCGAGGGGGATTTTTAACCAAGGTGTCGGTGGAGTGGTGAGTTTGACTCCCGAAATCGCGTCGTTCATTGGGCTCCCGGCAAGGGGTCGATGAGACGGCCTGCTCGGCCGCATTTAGAACGAAGTTGCGTTGACCAACACCCCCATGTCCGGTGCTTGCGTCAGACGACAGAGCATCATTTGCTGCGGCAATTGGTGTATGCTAAAAAGGCAGACATAATAGTAAAGTCGCGGTTGAGTAATAATTAAGGGGTTAAAGTAAGTGGGGAGGTTACATTGCGTTCAACAAAAGGCCAATAAATCACGAGACAGTAACCAAACTGCGTATATAAACAGGGGGTAAGTACTACGGTATTAGGCAGCCCGAGATAAAGAGGAGGGGGAGTTCGCGTCTGCATGGCTCATATGCGGTGAACAACTTTCCAAAGAGGATGTCATTTTCGAGCAGTGGTTGTGCGTGAAAAAATGGTGACACGTAATCGCGATCCGGATTGCGATTCACGATGAAGTGAATTAGCGTCGACTCGGGCATTGGGACCATGTCTGTAGCAGATGAAGGTTAAGTGTTACCAGTCCACAACACGGCACTCCATGAAAGAATTCGCCATCGATCGCACTCATACGTCGAGGCCGTAGGACCTCGACTCGGACCTTTGGGATGTCAGCCGAAGCCTCTATCCTTGATGCACCGAAGAGAGGCGCACATTGCATGCTTCACAAAAACGAATGTGTGATAACGAAACTCGTAGGCTCTTGTACCATAAGAGTGTGGGAGATCATGCAAAGCGACACACACCCGCGCACTATTGCTAAGCCGGATAGGTGAGTAGGGGGACAGAAGTGACTTGTAAGATATGTACTGGCGGATTCGCCGAAATACGCAAATAAATGGTCTATTCGCGATAATGCGAGGCACGCCCGTGGTGGAGCTGTACGCTATCGGGCGCGTCCCCAGGTTGTGGATTGGAGAATGCCTTCCTTGTGGACGCAACTGCGAATAAGTCTCGTCTGCTTTGTAAGAGAGATGAATAAGCAACCGCAAACAATCAGCGGCAGCGTCTCAGAGGGTAGGGAGTTCCGGACTGATCACCTGGTTCGCCATCAAATGCCACAAAAGCAAGTACGGCGCTGTGTCGAAGCCAAGGTGACCGGCTATAGGGTCACTGACCACACATTTCTGTAACTGGAGGTTAGTATTTAACGGAGGGCGGGTGAACGACTTTGTTGTCCACCAGCTTCTGTGGACTGCAACCGAACACTAAGAATGCGAATGAACCACCTGTCTGTCAACAGTCTTTGTATTTGCCCAGCTGTCTTGCGGGGCAGATTTCTAAAACCAAAGTCTCGGGGTGGGGTCCCTTAAGTCAACCCACTACTTCCGCTTGGGCAACCGGGAAGCTCACTGCCCACACAACACATAGACCTTCGCATCCCTTCCCCCAGACTCTCACTTATCCTCCTTTTTAGTGTTGTTACTCATGTGTTGTGGCACTCTGCTAAATGTTTGGTGGTCAAGCGTTATATATATATATATATATATATATATATATTGCGAGGCACACCTGCATAAACATGGTCATGGTAAAACTTCATGGATGATCGGTAAACGTAAAGAAAGGTTACAAGTTTCCCGGTAACCACATGCTGAGGTTGATGTTGCATGCATCATGCTTCTCCACCGCAGACGGGCTACACCGACTTACACATAGACTAGATCTTCTTAATATGGCTCGCGAATCTTAGACACATAGTAGTCAAGGCGTCAACCTTTGAACACATAGGCCTCGAGGTCCACCCCAGCTCAGGCTATCTCCATCTGATGAGTCCAAAGGAGGACGAAACCGGTTATGGAGTGTCAGTGTTGGGAGGAGCAACACCGAACCACCAATTCGGATACGGTCCTTGTGATCGTAATGACCGAGGTCTACTTCAAAGAAGACCGAGGTCTGAATAGAGATTGCGAGTCGCAATCCAATCACACAGCGGGTATACCAAATGCCACTTGAAAAAGTATTCCACTTTATTTGAGTTGAACAGTTTTGTCATTCATCAGCATACCCCGTGTCAATTTTGCGTGTTTGTTTTCCTTCAAATTATGTGCTGGATGTCTGATAACCCCGGTGTGGCTGCGCTTGATGTGAATGTTGTCAAGGTGCCTACCTGTCGAAATACCGCTACCTCGATTAAACTGGCTCCGGGAGATTGTGAATCGCTGCTGAGGGAATGGGGTGTATAGTCCTCGCGGCTACGCTAAGCCCAATGATTGATTCCATCCACTGTGGAGCGGACCACGATTTAGCCACCGCCTTGTGTACGTCTGGTACGCATGATTCCCTACACAGATAGACAGGAATGCTGCTGCTGCGCATGTTGAAGGAGTATGGGCCAGCTCCGTTGATGAGACGTGACTCCCACCCACATACCTCCGGGTCTTATTTCTTCGGGTTTACACCGGACATGGGGTGTGGGTGGGTGGTGCAGCGCAAGCCACCCATGCCCAGCTCGGAGACAGGACAATCTTTTCACCCATGGTCCCTCTGTAGGCATGCGCGTCCTGTGGCTGTCCTATAGAGGCTGCAGTGGCAGGCAATTCCAGAATCGGATGACGCCAACCGTATACACGTAACAGTGTTGCTTAGATTTCTAGATGCGCTGCTGTATTGATGATTGTGTTCGGTCGGATCGTTAGCGAGAGAAGAGATCAAAGAAAACCTTCAAAGTGGAAGACCACGTCCACGGAGTGGGTAAGATCATTAAGACAGACAAGGAGTAGTGACTGTACTTAGTGGTGAGTCATATCTGCCACAGCACAGTGTTGTTAAATAATCTGTGGTTTTTAATATGAAAAAGCTTATTAGGTGGAAAGCAACCACGTCTTGGAACACTGCTGCCAAACTGTTCGATGGAACGAGTTTTACCCGACCCACCCATCTGGCACCATGGCGAGGTTACTCGGCGAGCCATTTTAGGGGAAATGTGAATAGAAAGCAAATGTGCTGCATCGATGGGAACGTGCACTTTGGCAACATTCCGTTGAGGCACCGAAGCAGCAAACAACTGCGGCTTCGGAATCTAAACACCCACAATGGATCAACTCAAGGTTGATTACACAGTGAGCAAACCATTTTCAAAAGCCGAATCAACTGTGTTCACGGGGACAGTAGAACACTTACGGGAGAGGTACTTGACTGTGCAGAACTGTGTCGACTGCGATCGGATGCAGACAAAAAGTTTGCGAGGGATCCTAATGGGTCTGTGTTGACACCAGAGTTGGTCAGTGTTTTCGTTTCAATTGTAGGCCTATTGATTGAAGGTACTGCCCAGCGATCCTTTGGTGCACTGTTGTCAGAAATGTTCAGTTCTGTGTGGCTAAAAGGTGTAATACGATGACATTTCGGTCAATCTGAGACAAAAGAGCAGACCAAGTGGGGAGGGGAACGGTGACATAGGCGGGAAAAACGATCAGACATAAAAAATAAGAATGAGACAAGGTCACATGACAGTGTGCTGCGACTAGAGCTGGTGCAAAGGTAGGTGCAGCCATGGTTCTAGTATTGAGTCCATACACATTGCATTATCGCAGCAAGGCATCAGGTGCACATCGGTACGCAGTACCGAGGCCTCATTTAAACGCAACCACCACCAGTCACACGTGGGCTAAGGACACCGTGAAGGTCGTCCGGTCCCCTACACAGGCTCGAAGCCGCAACCTAAGGATTACAAGGTAGGCGTGTGATTCTTAAGGCCACGGGCCGGGCAAAAGTGAGATAACAAGAAAAATAAGTTGTGAGTGAAGAATGGGAGTGAAACAAAAGAAATAAAAAACAAATGATAGACGTTTTGTAGTGCTCACTTTGTGTCTGAATTATGAGATGCAATCAACTACTATAGAAAGAGATTTCGGTCACTCCGAGCCCAGGGTCGTAACCGGAGTAGGAGGGGGGATTTCAGGGTGTAGACATATCCGGAGGTAAGACTAACAGTTACAAGCAAAAGATTCATCTCAACATCACTGGTAGATTGTTGGTAATGCGGAAGCAGACAGGGCCTGTAACAGTTAATATGTTTGATCCTGTTGAGCCGGTTATGGAGGAAGTACAATCGCTACAATAATCCTCTCCAGATCTGGCTGCTGTACATCTTAAGAGTCCAAAACTCACAGAATACATCCACAACTGCCGCAAGTCAAAACACTGAGGAACGCGGGCGAATACTAGTTGGCAGACCGCAACAACATATCTCTGATGCTTCGGTGCGACACCAAAGATACGTAGATACACGGAGCGCAATTCAATCCGACTTGTGGTCTCCACCGCGCATTGGCTGTGCCTCTGGGAACGTGAATGCGTGCTTAGCCTTTGCCTAACAAGCCACTATCCCCCACTTTAAACAAACGTAAGCAGAGTGTGAAGTTACAACAATGACGTTATGACGTAGATAAGTCAATTGAATGAGCTGTGTAGCATGTCTGAGTGTCCGCGGAGTAATAGCTGATTATGACGCGAGGCAGTGAAAGACGCAATGTGTCTCGTCGGACCGCCCTATCTTTGAACGATAGCCAGCTGTTAATGATGGTATGTTGTTGACAAGATATAGGTGCATTGACCCTGAATGTCTGCTTAAGGCATTAAGGTTTTCTGGTAAGTTTCCCTTCTCGCTTTTCGTTCCTTAGGTCACCGTGATTGTACGGCAGCGGAAGGTCATTTCAAATGGCTGATGTACTGCATTTGATCATGGTAACGGAGTGCCTTCGTAGAAAACCGAGAAGCCGAGGCTCGCCGTGGCGTATGAATCACCATCTCCAATCCGTGTGCACACCCAGCATTGACCCTGTGTGTAGTTGTCTAACGCCCAGTTGATTGATCGATACTCTGTACACGTTATGGCCAGGGTACACGTTTGCGTGTTAGCAGCTGGTTGTGTTCTGTGGTCCTGGCGTCGTTCGGCTACGAGCCATTACTACGTTCGCAGGCTAGCGTTGATTCCGCACGTGTAGACTTTAACACTCGCCTAGAAGATTACTGTTGTTTCCTCTTCTGAGTATCTTCCATTTTGTTTAGACTATTTCCAGCCATCTCTCATGGTCATTTTCGTTACCCATGCACTTCGGGTTCGGTCCTCCATGGATAGCTGTGACAACGGCATCCAAGCTAGAGGTGTTAGCCAAGCGTATCTTCCATTGGGTTTCGCAGCTAATAAGGTGGCCGTGTTTTGGTTCAACAAATCGCCGATAACATATCTGTTTTACATTTCAGCCCCACTCCCTCCAGATCCATTAGGACTTATCAACGTATTCGATAGGGAAGCACTAGAAATCCAAGATCAGACGCATACCACTTGACCGAGCCCATGACTCAATGCCCATCCATGCCGGTAGTGAAGTGTATAAAACGGAGAATTCGTGGTATACTCATGAGTGGGGGATTTTGGATATTATGAATTAAGAATTTGTTGCAGCAGCTTTTAAATCAGAGAATCACCCAAATGCCGGGAGAAGCACTAGACTGCAGTTTAAACCTGTTAGGTATCATTAGTAGGCCGCATCCATCGGATGCGTCAGGATTCGAGCCCATGACCACCCGTCGACAGGTAATGCCAATGGGCTTGTAAACCAAGACGGTCCGACACTGTCCCAACAGGTTGAAACTGCAGTCTAGAGCTTTTCAGGGTATATGGAGGACTAGCTGAGTTGGAAACTGCTGCGATGAAGTCTAACTTAATCCGAGTGGTATTCAGGCAGATGTTAAACTTGGTGATTCAGGAAAACAATCCCAGGAAGGCAGTTCAGGTGTGGAAGACGCAAAAAGCTGGTAAATAGGGAGCGCTCTATGCGCTGAGCTCAACTTCAAACATTTGAAATCCAGACCCTTAAATTCCATGTACCTCTCGCACACACAAGGAACGAGCTCAAGATCAAGTTTCCAACAAAGCATAACGCGGTCGGCGCAAACATGCACACTTAGCGTGGTTCTTGCAACTGTTTCCGACGCGGAGCATTTGCGAAGCCAATGGTGCACTTGTACTGGGTTCGTTGCACCTATTTGACAGACTTACCACTCGACAAGTGTACTATTTTGCCAAGTTTTTCATCTCCATTTTCTATTAGTCATATCAAGTGTGAGTCGTTTGTGCGATGATGTTCGTCGTGGAAGCGAAATTCATTGCTCTTCGATAATCGAGGTTAAAACGTATGATGAGCGCCGCCAGTTTGTGAGTAAGACCCAGAGTACAAGACGCTACTGACATGATTAGAGTTTAAGTACACGTCAAATATATCGAGTTTGTTGGAAATAAGCTTGCTCAGTGAAGAAAGAACGAATAAAAATGGAAAAGCGACGACGTGTACGCATGCCTGATACTACAGCTAGCCTATGCAATGCGGTAATACAATGATTAGGAACATTTACTCTGCACTTTGGTCGATTGATTGATTCTGATAGAACGTGTACAGGGGCACTGTTCACTTCGAAGATCCGGTGGTGCACCCATAATTGCTTTTAAGGGATGAAATTCGATCGGAGTGCCATCCGTTTTGGCATAACGAGAGAAAGCACTATTTTGAAAAGTAAAGCTGAAATACGAACCATTGAAGTTCTCAGAAGACCATCGGGAAGCTTTTTGGGTGGAAAAATTCGGTCACAGAAACAAATTTGCGAACTTCAATGCACTGCAAAAATATCTGCGAGAAACAATCAATTACCCAGGGAAATCCCGCCGGCACCGCTTGTGTACGGCACTGAAACGTAGTGAATCGCTGTAAATGAGACGTTTAATGTCATCTGCTTCAGTGAAGTTCTTCTCTACTGCAGTAGGAGGGTTCTTATGAGGAGAAAAAACGTGCCTCTTGGAGAAGGAATGGAAATTGGCCCGATGATGTTCGAACTGGAGAGGGGAAGAGAAAAGGAAGCATGAAAGGGATTATCATGTAAAAATGAGGCCAATGGACCAAACTTGTTTAGAGGTGAGAGCACACGAGGGGAGATTCGTTAGATCAGCTCGGTGAAAGTTAGAACGAGGTTGTGAGGACGTGTAGCATACATTGTACGATGCGTTGAGTGAGACACGGCAGATAAGAGTGAACTACAAATGAAGTGCACGCAGTGCGGTGCAAGGAGAGTGCCATGAATCCAATCGAAACGAAGGTTCTAGCGCAAAGGCGCCAGATACACTACGTGGATGGAAAGCAAAAAGCAGATCCCACGCTGCAACTCCATCCCGAGGCACAGTAAGTAAAGAAAAGGATAGAAATGAAATGTACTGCTAAAGCTTCTACCTTATAAGTGACTCCGGTCGAAACGAACACTTCCCTTGCGAGTTCCCAATCACAACCAAGGCGAAAGCGTAGTGATGGAAAGCAACGTTCACTTTCTGGCAGTTTAGAGCCACTCCGATAGATAAGGAGGTAAATGCATGCGTCAGGTGACACACTGTGTGTCTGTTGTACATAATTGGCTCAAGTTGTTTATGCAGATGAATAACGGGTTTTCTTGGATGATGTTCGCTTCTCCAGGACGTATTCCAAAAGAGATCAGTGGCACATGATTAATTGAGGTAGACTGTGAACTACAGACAGAGCAAAGGGAGGTCCTTTGTTTTAAAGTCTAGACATGGAAGGCAACAAGGCAAGCAGATGAGTGAAACAAACCGGCTCTTGGCAATGAGAGAGTCGGAGCAGGTACAGGTACTTTGTAAGCTGCCTGGTAGCGATGGGTTTCTCAACTCAATCTAATAGTGTTGTAGTTCATCATCGATGGCTAAACACTAGAAGGCCAGCGTCGGTTAACTAGATGATACTGCGAACAGCGCCCATTACTAATTGAAAGAAAGGGCTTGTGTGACGAAGGATAAGAGATCCCTTCGTTTCGACGATCCTCAACACTTTTGAATGGCCTGTCACATCGGATGGCGAGAAGTGACACGAGAGATAACAAAGAAGAAAGCCTAGCGATAAACGATAAAAGTAGGTGGAAATAAAAAAGTTGCGATGGATCATGTGTGAGCCAAACATGGTCATTGGTCGTTCACGTTGCATAATAAACCAAGCCGGACCGAAAATCGGATAAGATACTAAGCAAATTAATAGTAGAAAATAAAAGTATCAGGTAGTTGGTTGTGAGCAACTGGCTTACTGTGCGTTAAGTGTGTGACTCGTAAGGGTGAGTTAGGGTCTGTCATACGTACTCGGCATCCGTGGTGATGATGGGGCGCATTCAAATTAGATGACTGCTTGCCGGATCAAGTTCCGCGCGAGCTCGATGGTGGTGAGAGACAGTGGTTGCATGAAGAAATACGTTTGTGAAAGAATTCAATCAACACTGAATAGCCAACTGTTTAAGACCGAGTGTCATTCTCAACGAATAACTGTCTAGGACGTCATGCATTCAAACCACTGATGACGCGGTAGTGAAGTATTAGCAGTATAGGGGTCCGGTAGACTCCTGACAATGACCATAACTTGGGATCGTGTTTGGTGAATTGATCAGCAACCACCAGGGTGGTGGGTGGTTTGCGACGCGCTCTAGGCAATGTGTATGACACGTGGGAAGTTTAACCAGTGTCGGCCAAATGCAAACGAGCGTTCCTGGGATCATACTTCTGGATGCTCAGGAAGGTGGTAACGGGATACACAGGATTTGGATCGACGCGACTAAAATAAGAAGACGAAAATGAAAGGAAAAGGAGAAAGAAGTGGACTACGCGCAGTGCACGCTAGTCTGTGCCGTTCCATCGATTGCGGATAGCCCCATCCTGGTCGTATTTTGCTCGTGTCCTCGTCAGGCCAGTTTACCTCGTTTTATACATTGTTAACGTTGTTTTATTCCATAAATTCATGTGTACTTCACTCACATTGGTGATTTAGAATTACTTCATCAGAAATACGTGTGCTAGTTAGTTGTATTTGCTGTAGTTCTACATTACGCTGATTCAGTCGTAACGATCGGTACCTAATCTTGAAATGGCAAAGCAGACACCTTGTGGTAGTTGCCCCAAAGTCGTTGAATATCGCGCAAATACAATGACATGTAGTTCACGCGGCATGAAATTTCACATTTTGTGCATTGGTCTGTCTGTGGACCAATTTAGCGAAATTCAAGGGGTTCGGCACGAGTTTTTGAATACAATTTGTAAGCAATATCAGTCTAAGCTTGAGTTGTAGGGAAGCGAAAAGCTTGACAAGTGGATCAGTAGAGCGAAGTGCGCTGAAACGCGTAGCTGGATTTGTTCTGCACCAGAATCAGAGAAGTAGCCAACACCAAGGACGTCAGCGACTGTATCCCTGGAGCAAAGTGATAGCACTCCGGCAAGCTTGGCTTCACCGCCTACGTTTTCTTCGGTTGACATTAGAGTTCTGATGTGCAATAAGAAAATTGGAGCTAACGAATGGAAGACGCAAATACCAAAAATATCGAGAACGATGTCTAGCGACCTGAGGCGCCGCAGCCTCATGGTCTTTCACGCACCTGAATCCTGTGATTTCAATCCTTAGGTGTGCTATGAACATGACGTCGAGTTAATTTGGAACACTGGTAGCCCGGTTGGTTGCTCACCTGCTGATCGTTTTTTCCGAGCTTGATAAAGGGATTGCATATGTTTCACCACCATGCGAGGTGGCATTTTCAGTGAGGTGATATGCAGTGTATAATACTGCTTATTGTATCGTCAGTCCGTCATCCAGGGGCAGGTGACTTTTGAAGGTGGCAATTTCGATTTGCGCCACGTGAACCCTGCCTATTTGCTTCCGCGGCTGAACCATGTCTTTCGATTCGCCGGAGATCTTTCTTTCTGAGCTGATGGTACACAGGGTGGCTGTCGATCGACAGGTGAATGACGTCGTTTTTGCAAACTCTGACTGATAGAATGGATGACGGCGGGTTGAAAGTGAAACAAACCGCCCATCTCGGAAAGAGAACCGAGGGCAAAAGTAGACCTATGAGAGTGACTTTTGCTGAAGCGGCAAGTCACATGTTGAAATAGTTCCACCTTAGTAGTCTAAAAGGTCTGAAGATCTATGTGCTGACTTAGACCCAGTAGAGATAAACTCAAGTCTGTGATGAATGAACTAAAGCGACACACTGATGATGGAGAAACAAACCGCCGTATTGGGACTTTTTGGCTAGTCACCCGGATTCCTCTGCGAATCCGGATCAACAGTTTTCTGATGCTTCAGGCGCGTCCAGCGGTTCCTAACGCGGTCTGCGCGTAGAGTTTACGAACGCCTGCTGAACAAACGCGATGAGTTGTGCTACTTAACCTCACAGCGGCCAGACGTATTAGACATGATTAAACGAGGTAAAAGCCTAAGAAGTGGAAATCAGCGACTACTCGTGCTTCCCCTGTGACAGACCATCAAATGATCGCTGTGGCGTTCTGATATACATAAGGTCTTCCTTCTGTGGGAGACTAGTAAGCGCCTACGGAAGCGCTGATGGTCTATGTGAGCAGTTATGGTGTCCGATTAACTTCAGACGCCGCGAGATGCCCTTGGGCGTGGTACATCGCAGTTCACTGAGCCGCTGCTTGACGTGGTTGCCGCATATCCGCAACCACATGAGTCGTCAGATGTTCCTACTCATGGGCGATTTCAACTTACCTCGAATACAATGGCCTGAAGCTGAACTTCTCTCCGGCCATTGTGAAGTCGACAGGACGTTTACGGAGTTGATACTTGAAACTAGGGCCACACAGCACATCAAACAACCGACACGCATAACTGCGCACGCGACTCCATCGTGCTTAGACCTGATTTTGACTAGCTGTGAGCAACATGTGCATGACATTCATGTCTTGGAGCCCCTGGGAGCGAGTGATCACTCGATGATCATAGCCGTCTTGGAACTGTCGCTGTCGTATTCTCCCCCGCAGGAACCAGCCTTCAACTATTGGAAGCCGGACTTTAACGGCCTCACTCGAGCAGCGAGTCAGATGGACTGGTCGTTACCAGAGGATTCGTCTGTTGAAACCAGTTGGACTATCATTAAAGAGGGAGTGAAATCGTTGTGCGCCAGATTTGTACCCCTCAAGCAACGGAAGGTTGGGTCAGTCAAGCCACATTGGTTCGACAAGGAGTACAGCAAACAGGCCCGACGACGACGCAGACTATGGAACAAATTTGTGTTATCTGTCTCTGATGAAGATTACAAGGCGTACAAGCTACAGCGAAACCTCTGCAACAACGCGAAAAAAGCGCAGAAGCTTTGAAGAGCAGCCTGCAGCCGCCGCAAAAACTGCTCCCAAGAGGAGCTTGACTTACGTGAAGAGGCGCCTGAGGCCTAGAGTCAATGTGCCAGTGTTGGAAGGCTGAGATGGACAGTCCATCACCTCGAGCACAGATCGTGCATCCGCATTGGCAGCGCACTTCGCTTCCGTATTTGCAAGTGACCAGGTGTCTGTACCGAGTTCGAAGGGTACCGTCCCCGCTGAACTGGACAGCCTGGATTGCAGCATTGAAGATGTACGCAAGCTGCTGATACGTCTTGACAGGACGAAGCCTGCAGGGACAGATGGAACCCACCCACTCATCCCAAGCCCTATCGGCCATTATTACGCCTTCTGCAACAGAGCTGTTCAACAGGTCACTACCCACTGGTTTACTATCGGGCGACTGGGAATGTTGTCGTAACGCCAATACCGAAAAGTGGTAACCAAAGCAAAGTGGATAACTACCGGCCGATCTGCCTGACCGCTGGCTTGACAAAGACGCTTGAGAAAATCGTGAAGAAGGGTGTTCTGCAGCTTCTCGAGTCGAAAAGCCTCTTGACGGCCGCACAGCATAGTTTGGTAAAAAGTCGCTCGTGCATCACCAACATATTGTTGACGCGGCACGAATGGTTGCAAGCGCTGAACCAAGGCAAGTCGGTCGACGACATTTACAGTGACTTCAGTAAGGTTTTTGACAAGGTGAATCATGAAGTGCTCCTCAACAGACTGAGGGTGTGCGGTGTTGGCAGCACGCTGCACCGATGGATCGGGAATCTCCTTGTTGGTCGAAAGTGGAGGGTCCAGGTCGACGACTATTTGACTGACTAGTATTCATAGAGCAGTGGCCTGCCCCAAGGCACTGGACTAGGGCCCATTTTGTTCCTGATCCATGTAAACGAGGTGCCTCAGCAACTCCGTTCACCTTGTGCGTTGTTTGCAGATGAATTGAAGGTGTGGATAGTAATTCGCTCACCCAATGACTGTGACCTCGACCGCCTCTCCATGTTTGCAGAGATCAGCCTTCCGATCAACTTGGTCAAGTTGCTATTCATGAGGCTGGGTAAGTGTGGGAACAGTCGAAGCTACATTGTGGCCGGTCAACCATTGCATCACACGCCTTTCGTGTGAGACCTCAAAGTACTCTCACGCTACGATCTAAAGCCCATGGACAACACAAACAGCTTTTACCAAAACGGCCTTCGTATGCCTCAGGTGCTCAGTCGCAGCTTCAGCACTTAGTCTGAAGAGATTGTCACTCGCCTCTTCGTCTCAATATTACGATAAACTTAAGAGTATGGCTCTCCCGCGTATTGTCCTATCACCCCGGGTGAGGTAGAAAAGACTGAACGAGTGCAGCATGTAGCCACTAGGCTGATTCCCAATTTACAAGGTTTACCGGACGAAGACCGGTGTAATAAGCTAGGACTTTACACCATAGCTTGTCGTCGACTGCGGGTTGACCTCGTTATGACGCACCGGACATTGCGTCTCAATGAATACTCCATGTTGAGGCTGCTGCTGCATCTGCGCACACCAAGCAGCACACAAGGACACCGGCATAAGCTTGTAGTACCGAATTTGAAGCGGGTCAGTCACCAACTCTGTTTCGAACGGAGAATGGTGAATGTATGGAACAACCTGACGCAGCATGTAGTTGAGACAAAGTCCGTGTCGGAATTTAAGGAATTCCTGGACAAACATTTTTCCGATATAAAAGATATCGAATGCACTTCAATACAACGGGTCTTTATGCCTGAATGATATTAGATGTAGCTACACAGAGAGATCGCTTCTTGCTGGTTCCAAACAGTAATAGTAACCTGCACGATCTCTCCAAATTCCTGAAGCTCGTCGAGCAATTCTAGCTGGCGTTGAGTATCATTCACTACGCATGACCACTAACGCTGAACTCAAACAGTTCTTCCGGGAGGATCGCGAGTCCTGGTGCACTCAACGGGTCAGTGATATGGAGCAGGCGGCCAGATCGGGGAATTTCCGAAAGTTTTTTTTT